AACAAAATCACGTAATGCACCAGGCCAAACAATCCCCGCAATTATTTACAAATTTTCCTAATACCCTGTAACTGATACCAGCTATGAGTTGAGCTGACTCTGTTTCAAGCCATTATTCATTCAAAAATAGAAATTAAAATCTTAAGCAGAAGTCTTCTCAATGAATAATAAGTTGAGTAACCTGACAATTTTCGTTATGGTAAAAAACAACTTAAGATTCTCATTTATAAAATAATTAAGTTCAGAATATTGAAGATTTTATATATAATAAAAATTACTATGTTCATTATTATATAAATATCGTATTTAATATTCGTATAATATATTTAATTTAAAAGCAATTTTTTTAAAATAACAAATTTAATAAATAACAATATTTAATTTAATTTTTTTTGTTTTAAAATAACAAAATTCCAACGCTTAAGGCATAATTTTTTTTATCTATGACTTTCATAAGGTAAAAAAGCTTTAAAAACTTAATTTTCAAATAAATTTAAAAAAATTTTTAATGAGATTTAAAGTATTATTTATTATTTTTTATTATAAAACCCAGCTGATAGAGGTGAATATGACTGCTATCAATTATACAGGGTATATTTTACTATAGTACACTCTATTCCAATTGAAGCCACACGAATTGGTGCAGATAATAGTTGCGATTGAGGTTATCTTGTTTAGTACGTCACAGTGGCTGTGCTGCTAGGTCAAGTGGCATAAAATTGTCTTTTAACAAGTGATATCCGGGCCAAAGTTAGGATACAGCTGTTATCGATAACGTTTATTATTTAATTAAGTTCGAATCTGTTATTAGTATTTTCGCATATGGCATGGATATTGCTGTGCAAAATACAGTCAGTCTATATACAGACTATATCGCAATCGATCAAGTTGAGTCACTCGGCTCACTTTAAGCGAGTGAATTGCGTGTACGGCATGAAAATCGCAGATAATGACAGCGACTGTTGGGTTTCATAAGATCTGACTGTCACAGAAACAAAACACAAACAAAGGCAACAAAAAATATGAAAAGAGTGTTGCCAAACGGCAGATACTCTCAGAGATTTACAATATGCGATTCGGCTAACGAGGCGTGAACTGTCAAATCTTATAGCGAATTTAGTAACTGAATCAGGTAAAAGCTATAGGATTTAGTGTATTTAGCCTAACATTTGTTTAAAATTGTATAGCTATAGTTTAGTTTGATGCACAATGACTTACGCTTTCATAATTAATACCCTTTCTAAGTGTATTTCAAAAACTGATAAAAAAAATAAATAAAATAAAATAATAAAAAAAATATGACCTGATTTTGAAAGTGTCAAAATGCTTCGACGCGCGACTTGGACAACAGATTTGTATCTCAGTCTATCTATTCGCTGGCATTAAAAAAAAAAAGGCTGTGACCAGCTGAATGGATTACATACTATATAGATTATGTCATCCATCACCCGACTTTCAGTTGGGATTGTTGCAGCGCATAAATTCCATAGAACTAAAAGGCAATAGCAACTGTTTTTTGTTTATAAAAATGCTAAAATGACCATTATTGGAATTTCTCTGGTTTTGTAAAACAGATTTTTATGATTTAATTACATACCACAATTTGGTTTAGTTAAGGGCTAAGTATATTCAATTAAAATCGTTTGGCTATATGCCAAAAAATGAAGACGAAAATTCACGAAAATGGCTTTGTTTCTGGCCTTGTGCTCAAATTGATAAATCTACGCACGCTTGATTAGATGCTCAGATTCAGTTTATATATATATATTTGTCTATATATGTTTATATATGTATATAATGCAAAAATGTTAAAAATGTGCTCAATATGTTTAAGACAAATATTCCGTCATCATTTAGAATTGTTTCTTTAAATTAACTAAACGGGAAGCAGCATAATATTAGTAAATGATTTGTTTGCTATTTAAATATATTTTTAGATTTTTTAAAAACATAATTTATCAAATTTCTCAATCAATAAACAATAATTAACGTCAACAACAAAAAATCACAGATTTTGCATTCTCTTCCCACTGTGCAATGCTCTTATCCATAACGTTCTTTCATGGGTGTGTTATATGCTCTGTGTATGCGAATATGAGTGTGTGTGTGTTTGAGTATCGTTTGTGTGCATATGTGTTTGTTTGCCATGACTAGTGCAATAAATATTTGCGCTCAAGCCGTGGCCAAAACTCGCCAAATAGCTTCATTAAAAATTCAAATTAAAAGCAACAAGAAAAAAAGTAAAACAGACAAGCAACAAGCAGAAAACAGCAACACAACACCAACAAGTTCATGAATAATGACACTCGGGCTGTTGCTGCTTTCTGATTGCCTTTTGTCAAATGGGACGATGACGCTGACTGCGACTGCGACTGCGACTCTGTTTCAMTTCGCTTACCTTTTTCGGCCGGCGATGGCGGCGGCTTGCCAAGGCAGAACTTTGTGTTTGACTCATCGATGGCAGCGCCAAGTCCTACGAAGCTCGACGCATTTAGATGCTGCTGATGCTGCAGTCGCGGTGACAGAGAGCCTGACGTCGCTGTCGCTGCCGCCGCTGCTGCTGCCTCCTTGTCGTTTATGATCTCGGCAATCTTCTTCAGGTTCTCGGGTGTCGTGTCGGCTTTCTCACGACCATCCAAGCTGTTGTCGTCCTCGTCGAATTCACCGTTGTCATTGCTGTTGTTGTTGGACACTTGTTTAGCAGCTGCGCCGACAGCAGCCGCTGGTGCTGTAGCTGGTGGTGCTGCTGGCGTTATGGCTCCTGCGTTTGTTGCTGCTCCCTCAATTGTTGTCGTTGTTGTTGTTGTGGCTGCTGCCGTTGACGTAGTGTCATTCGCGTATGATGTCATATTAATACGAATTTTGTTGGTCTGTTTTATGGGCTCGGACTACAACACCTATTTGTTACTTCTCTCTCTCTCTTCTTTCACTTTTTAATTAGTTAATTAATAAACGAGCACGGCATGTTTGCAAATCATGCTACTCATTCTGCCACAGCGAAGTCTACTACTATTTTGCTGCTACGCTTTTCGCTGCTGCTGCGCTGGCGTTGCTGCGTACGCAAATTCCTGCACGCCTACGTCGAATAAAAGAAATGTTGAAAATTACATAAAGAAATCAAGAACACACGCACAAAGCAGACACAGCACAAACTCAAACACACGCATTCACACATATACGCACACACGGGCAAGTAGTGTTAATGACCATGCGACGACATATTCAATTGTTCTGGCCGCGCTCTCAGTCGTCGTCGTTGCCGTTTGGTTATTCTGATTGGACAAGCGCATACATGGAATACAATTTCGAGCACTTCCACTGCGGCGACACACAAAAATAGCCAGGTCTCTCGTTGTTTTGCCTTTTCAAGGTTGCTTTTGTTGTTAATCGAATTTTAGCCATGCGTTGTTTGTGTATTTTTATATTTTTACATTTAACATTTTTGGAAACAGCAGCCGACACATACATACATACACGCACAGACACACWTAGGCATTTACATTCAAGGGCGCCGTCCGCTGGGACTGGTTCACTGCACTTGCGCTTGCACTTGTACTTGCACTTGCATTGGCTGTTCTTCACTTTCCGTATTCACTGCTGATAATGAACTCTTTCATTACACATTTTTTACTTTGTTCTCGTTGCTGCTTATTAGAATGTTTAACACGCGCTACCATACGCTGCGAGGCATACGCAACCCAAACGCTTACTCACGTCCGTACAGACACAGTTAAGACTGAAAGAGTCGGCAGCAATCTTCAATGTGTTTTGGCCAAAAGTGACGTATGGCAACGGGTTGTGAGAGAAAATTCGAACGTCGAAGAGAGCGCCACAAAACAGCTGCTGCGCGCGCTCACCAAACCGGTGCTGCCGTTATGAGAGAGAACTGCGCAGAGTTGCCGAGCTGGCATATAGTTCACGGAACTAAAGAATTGAACAGTTTGAATAACAACATATGCGAACAACAAGTGAAGTAGCAGCTGTTTTAATTATAAAATGTTGTACAATAATTAATAATTGCTTGATCACGTTACATTATTTGAATTTAACAGCTCACAATTATTTGAGTCTACTTGTAGCACTTATTCCGTCCACATACATTGTACCTCGGTGGCAACGCTCTACACATAACAGCGCGCACTCAATTTGTTTGCTTTCGCTCTTGCTCACCACCCTCAATCCACACACAGAGCAAACAATTGATGACGCACTAATTGTTATAAATAAGCTAATGAATTCACTAATAATTGCAGACAACGAGCGAGACATCAAATCAATGCTAATTAGCTGTCTGCAACACAGCCAATGCAATGCCTTAAAATTCACGCATGAATGAGCTCACTGCTCAGGCAGTGCATACGACAGGTGGCCTTCGCACGGCACATTGCGGTCTATTTTTATAGCGAAATTTGAGCATAGAATTCCGTTTAAGCTTTCAGTAAATAATAATATGATGTTAAACAACAGCTGCAGCTGGACAATTGGCAGACAGACAGCGTCAACAAAAACAATTGCCGTTTAAATGATAAGAGCACCGTTCACACCCGTACAAACAAACACGCTTCTCTCTTCCTCTGACTGTTCAACACTCTCTTTAATTCACTCCCTTTGGTATGCGCACGCTCTACGCATTTTTTTTTTTTTTTTTTGTATGGGTATTTTTACTGCCCCTACACTTTTTTTTTTGTCACTTTTCTTCGTGCTACTATAACACATTTCTTTTTTTTTTTTATGTTGTAAAGCTTATTAAACACTTTCACAAAATTTACGTATTAAATTATTAGCATTTACTTAATGCGATGTGCAAGGAAAAACCAGCGCCAGGAATCGCAACTTTTCGCGTTTGTTGTGCCAATCAGACTAGAGATGACTAAACAACCGATATATCGACTCTAGCGATGAAAGAGTGTGACCAGCTAAACAAAACGAATATATACTAAAAACATTGAAGGCGCAAATAGTATTAAAATTCAAATATTATCACGGATATTTGCTTATTTAATTACAAGAAAATAGAATTAATATTTAACGTTTCATTTAAGCTATTGTTATTTTAAAAGTCCAGGCGTATTCCAGTCCACGCTTGTCAATATGATGCTTGGGTGGAAACACAATTCGCAACTTATTGTGAGTTGCAGTCCACTGTGAATGGTATGGAATGCTAGTTAGAATTGTTGAATAAGAGTTTTTTATAGAAAGTACTCACATTGATTTTTGTATTCTCCATGCCCAACATGGATATTTGCGTAGTTTGCTTATTTATTACTTCGTTGTCCATGCCAAAGTCAAGCCCGGTAAGCAGGACATTGCGAAAGATACTGATGTCCTTGCCCAGAGGATAGATCTCCAGTTCGTTAGTATCGTAGGGATATTCTAGGACAAAGGCATAGATGACGGCGATAGTGGAATTCGATTCTTTGCCCTGGGTATACCAAACATCTGGCGTTAGGGTATCATTCTGATAGATCCACGGAGAGCTGCCATAGATGCCCTCGCCATTGATGCTCAGCCAGCGTCCCATGTCGCGCAGACGCTCCTCGAAGATAGGCAAGATCGTGCCATACTTCGTGGGGCCCACATTGATCAAGACGTTTCCGTTGCAGCTGACCGTTGTGACGATTTCTATAATAAAACTACTCTTAAGAGAAANTTCATTCAGGTATTCCTTCTCGCCATACCCTTGATGACATCCTTGGAGCTCATGAAGTCCGCCAGGGTCACATCGAAGCGCTGTCCCCAGCTGGTGCGATCCAGTGTGAAGGCGTTCTCCCACTTGTGTCGCTGCAGCACGCCCGGATTGAAGCGATCGGCGCAGTTGTAGAAGTCGCCATGCATACAGGCGGTACCAAAGCCCCAGCGATCGTTCGTTACAATCGTCTCCCTGACTGGACTTTCATTGTAGAGCCAGGCAATGAACTCCTCCGATCTCCAGTACTTGGCCGGCGCCTCCCAATCGCCATCTGACCATAGGATCTCCGGTAAATACTCCTGCACCAGCTCCATCTGCTCCGGCCGAACCTTGTAGTCCACGTAGTGCTGCTGCAGCAATAGATGCAACTTGTCGTCGATCCACATTCGATTGAACCACTCGAACAGCGAGTAGTACAGCCCGAATTTTAGATCAGAAACGCTGCGCACGGCTGATGCCAGTTCCTCTGTGAAATTAAGTAATGTTAAAGAGAATTATTGCTGGGAATCAAATCATCATTAAATATATGAATAAAATTGAAAATAAAAGTAAAATAAATCTATCTTCAAGATAAACTCTCCGATATTGCCTAGAGTTTCCGACCTCTTAAATACTTTAAAATCGATTTCTTTGTGTTTTGTTTATAACATTAAATAGCTTAGTTTTTATTGTAAAAATATAAAATATATATTTATTTATGTATTTGTATAAGATTTAATCAAAATTCGCTGAAAATATTAATCAATTAATTTTAATTCCATCTATTTACTATGTATTTATTTACTGTACTGCTGAGTCAAGATTTTCTTGAACACAATTTCAATTGTGTACTATGTTCTTTTTGAATTTACATAATTAAATTACATTTTCATGTAAAAGGCTAAGTCAAAAAGTTCATAATTTACTATTTTAAAACTTTAATTTTTTAAAACCTTTTTTAAATTTATATGCATACAAAATATTTATAAAGCAATAAAACATATTCTACTTTTAATGAATTTCTTTTTAGATCAGAAAAGTATAACTGTTTATCATTCTACTTCAAAGACAGCTTTTGTTTTTAAAATAATTTCTATTCCATTTCTATTAAAGGAATTGCAATCGTGAGGCTAAAAAAAATTTGTTATAATTAAACAAAAAAAAAAATCTTTAACGATTAATTTCAGTGCTGATTAGAGCTCAAAGCATAAACAAAATATGTATATATAAATAAATAAAATTAATTAACAGATTACAATCAAAAATATAATTTGTGATTATAATAATTTTCAATTTCAATAATCACTTACTGATRATATCCCGTTTAGGCCCCACATCGACAGAGTTCCAGCCGAARCTGTACTTGGAAGGCCACAGCGTGTATCCATCGTGATGTTTGCTGGTGAGCACAACATATCTGAACAGATACGAAAGGAGGCATTACTATAACTGAATAGATCTGGAACTACTAATGAAGCTTACTTGGCGCCACTATCTTTGAAGAGCAACGCCCACTGTGTGGCATTAAAGAGCTCCGCTGTGAATTGATCCGCGAATTGCTGATAGGTGAAATCGGGCTTATAATTGCGCTGCATAAAGCGTATATAGTCCGGATTACGCAGATCTAATGAAAATATGTATATAATATATTATATGTATATATATTTTCAGACACTCACTAATCCAGTTGGTCCAGAACCACTCGGAGCCGAAGCTCGGCACAGAGTAGACGCCGTAATGCAGGAATATGCCCACCTTCGCCTCATCGTACCACTTGGGCAGCGGGCGCTGATCCAAGCTCGCCCAATTGGGTTCATACCTGGTGCGATGACCCGGCGTGTGTGACCAGCTGTCAGAGAACAAACAAATAAACAGAAACAGCGCTAGAACTGTCCGCCTCAAACGTTCCATTGCTCTAATCAATGATTTCCAATCGGATTGTTCCGCGCTCTAATTCGAAATCGCCCAAGTACCGTTTAGCTTCGAAGCCAGCGTTCAACTGAGCTCGCAGCAAAACGAATTCGAACAATTCGCTCATTACGCGATTGAGTGCAAACAGAAAGAGAGTGAGAAATGGAGAGAGAGTGTGAGAGTAAATGGCAAATTAGAATACACTACAAGTGCATGTTGTTATATACATATGTATTCCTTGTTTACTCTTCTCAGGCACTTAAATTTCTACTGGAGCGGATTACTTGATTACTTGATTACTGTATTACCATAAGAAGCGTATAAAAATCAGTTAGTAATCAAATTCTATGTAATCACTTTGATTTGTTATGCCCGCCGCAAATTACTTTATGAGCAAGGGTATTTAGTGTTCGCCATGACGCATCTGATCGCATTTACGACTGGAAGTGGATCTGCAAATGGAATTGGATGATCATTTACGCATACTTATGCACAATGTGTGGTTGTGTGCTTGCAGTATTATTTTATTGCTATTAATAATACAAATTTTGTTTCGGTCTCATATGGAAAATAACAAAATTAGAGGACAAGTTGATGAATTGCAAAAAAAGCGTTGAATTGCGGGAAATTTATAATTTTTCTGCATATGTGTATGCATTTAAATATGTATATTTTAGGCTGATATATCTTATATATTTTTCTTTTCAATCTTAACGTATTATAGGCCTAGCTACGAAAGATTAAGAAGCACCTGAAGTTCATCTCTGTCTGTCCTACAGATTCAGATTCAGAGACTACCTCATGATACCCACACGACGATTGCTAACGGAAGTACCGATTATGAACACGAGAGACAGGCGAAAGTTCGGAGTCAGAGAGTTACTTTGGCACGAACGACAGGTAAGCGCCACTCTGGAGCTGAGTAGGAATCGCTTAAAGCACGAAGTCGTGCATGCAGCTGTGCTATAAAAAGGCGCCGGCAGCTGAGCATAGGGTATAAAGAGGAGCCAAAGGTCTACATAAGCATATTATTACATTAAGCGAGATCAAGAAACATTTTGATCAACAGGACATTCAATAGCATTAAGGAAGACTGAAGGATATCCCAGAGAGATATTAAGGAGATCTTTAAACGACTGACCTACTGAACTAAACGAATATTTATTAGCAATAAAAATATCACAAATAATGCTTAAATTTAAATATTATAATGGGTTTATTTTTACAAGAATTAATAATAAAATATTTATTTAAGCTATGGTTATCTTAAAAGTCCAGGCGTATTCCAGTCCACGCTTGTCAATATGATGCTTGGGTGGAAACACAATTCGCAACTTATTGTGAGTTGCAGTCCACTGTGAATGGTATGGAATGCTAGTTAGAATTGTTGAATAAGAGTTTTTTATAGAAAGTACTCACATTGATTTTTGTATTCTCCATGCCCAACATGGATATTTGCGTAGTTTGCTTATTTATTACTTCGTTGTCCATGCCAAAGTCAAGCCCGGTAAGCAGGACATTGCGAAAGATACTGATGTCCTTGCCCAGAGGATAGATCTCCAGTTCGTTAGTATCGTAGGGATATTCTAGGACAAAGGCATAGATGACGGCGATAGTGGAATTCGATTCTTTGCCNATCAAGACGTTTCCGTTGCAGCTGACCGTTGTGACGATTTCTATAATAAAACTACTCTTAAGAGAAATTTCATTCAGGTATTCCTTCTCGCCATACCCTTGATGACATCCTTGGAGCTCATGAAGTCCGCCAGGGTCACATCGAAGCGCTGTCCCCAGCTGGTGCGATCCAGTGTGAAGGCGTTCTCCCACTTGTGTCGCTGCAGCACGCCCGGATTGAAGCGATCGGCGCAGTTGTAGAAGTCGCCATGCATACAGGCGGTGCCGAAGCCCCAGCGATCGTTCGTTACAATCGTCTCCCTGACTGGACTTTCATTGTAGAGCCAGGCAATGAACTCCTCCGATCGCCAGTACTTGGCCGGCGCTTCCTGGTCCCCATCTGACCAAAGAATCTCCGGTAGATACTCCTGTACTAGCTCCATCTGCTCCGGGCGCACCTTGTAGTCTACGTAGTGCTGCTGCAGTAGTTGGTGCGCCTTATCATCGATCCACAGGCGATTGACCCACTCGTAAAGCGAGTAGTACAGCCCGAATTTCAGATCAGAAACGCTGCGCACAGCTGACGCTAGTTCCTCTGTGGAACGTTGTAGATTAATGGGAATATTTAAACAAAACAGTTAATTTAGTTAGAATTTTTTTCTATTGAAAAGATTGAAAACCAAATTTAAATAATACCTTAAGAAAATGAAATATTATATTTAATAAATATCAAATAGTCACTTACTAATAATATCCCGTTTAGGCCCCACATCGACAGAGTTCCAGCCGAAGCTGTACTTGGAAGGCCACAGCGTGTATCCATCGTGATGTTTGCTGGTGAGCACAACATATCTGRACAGATACGAAAGGAGGCATTACTATAACTGAATAGATCTGGTACTACTAATGAAGCTTACTTGGCGCCACTATCTTTGAAGAGCAACGCCCACTGAGTGGCATTGAAGAGCTCCGCTGTGAATTGATCCGCGAATTGCTGATAGGTGAAATCGGGCTTATAATTGCGCTGCATGAAACGTATATAGTCCGGTTTGTGTAGATCTAAACAGATCATTAATATATACACGGTTTTGCTGTTTTTGTTAGGCACTCACTTATCCAGTAGTGCCAGAACCACTCGGAGCCGAAGCTCGGCACAGAGTAGACGCCGTAATGCAGGAATATGCCCACCTTCGCCTCATCGTACCACCTGGGCAGCGGGCGCTGATCTAGGCTCGCCCAATTGGGTTCATACCTGGTGCGATAACCTGACCCCTGAGCCCAGCTGTCAACGAGCAAACAAACAAACAGAACTATAAATGTCCGCCTCAAACATTCCATTGCTCTAATCTCTGATTTCCAATCGGAATATGCGGGATTCTAATACGAAATCGCCCGAGTACCGTTTAGCTTCGCAGTCAGCGTTCAACTGAGCTGGCAGCAAAACGAGAACGAACTAATCACTTACTATGACTGAAAGTGGATCAGCAAATAGAATTGGATGATCACATACGGTTACCTATGCACATATATATATTTATATATGAACGTTAGCTAAATTATTGATGTGAATAATTTTAAGGTCTCAAATTTTCAATGGATTCAGGGTATAAAAACTACCTGACAATTTGATGAATAGTTAAGAGCATATTGATTTACGTGGAATTTCCATACTTTGTATATGGTAAAAAAAAAGTTTAAAAATATTAAATATATGTTCTTCTATATATTAAGTGTAAACTGTTATATATTCAATTTTTTCCTATATCTCATATTCCAATAGGATAGGAACAGACCAGTTCCAGTAGAATTTGCTTTCTTATAGTGTCACATACTTTTCAGCTGAAAAATTTGCATACTCATTCAGAAACCAAAGTAGTCCAAATATCGATTTATTATAGAGGCTGGAGAATTTGAATTGGAAATTGTATTCTCCACGACACGTAGGAGACTCAGACATCACAATGTCTCAATGCGAATCAGCTAATACGGGTAAGTTAACATTATCATTTAAGGCTACAATAAAAAATTATTGTAAGAAAATTACAAATAATACACTTGTTTTTTGTTAAATTGAACATAACAGTTTATTTTATTATCATTTTGCATTTTATTTCTGTTTTATGTTTACTTTATTTGCTTTTTTCTCTTGTTTTGTGTGTTTTTTTGTTGTCTTTATATCATAAAATGTATCATTTCTTTCTCTCGAAGTCCCAGTTGGAAACTCGCGCTATATCTTGAATTTTCTATCATTTCCCATAGCATTTTATTGAATCGATTTTGTTTTTGTTTTATTTTCATAAATAGTTTAAAGGTTTTTTTTTTTTTTTTTCAACGGTTCTAAATTTTAATCGGATAGGATTTTTATTTTTGGTTTAGCTAAAGCCTGGACTGTTCAGTGAGCCGCGAATGTCTCTGGGCGGGACAAGGAGGGGGGTTTCTACTACTAACTAGGGAGAAGATGCCCCAACTAATGCACATAAATCATATCACACACACACATACATACGTCTACGCATACGCCTACACAGATGCCAACAGCCTAGTAAACACTGAACATTATCTTTTATTTATAACTCTATATATATTATATATAGTTTCGTTAAGTTTTTAAAGTAAATTAGCTTCATTGCATTTGGTAATTAAAGTCAAATTCTCAGCAGGTTTTCCAACACTTATATGTTTTCTTAATTTCTCCTTTATTTGTTGCTATAGCTAATATAAACGGGTGCGAATATTCTTTAAAAGAACTGTGCAACATATCGGTGCATACAATTTCCATTCGTATCGTTTATAAGAGACTTCCAGAGTTAAGAGTGAGTGTGTGTGCCTGTGTGAGTGTAAGTGTCTTCAGATTTGGTTTGGAATAGTTATACTATATAGAAATACGCTACAAGTTTCAAGTGCTTTAGTAGCTTGCCTTTTATGAATTTGCGAAGCGAAAGTGTGAAACAGGAAAGGAATTCGTAAAAAATTAAATAAGACTCTTGAGATAAGTAGCTATACATGATATACATACTATATATGTACATATATAACATTTGCTGAAGTAAAGCTTTCTTGATTGTTTATAACAATAATGTATTCCTACTTACAGAGCAGTTGCGAAAAACTAAATCTCTATTTTAGTTGAAGTTCGAGAATTAGACGAAACTAAATCACACTACTTTAATATTTGTTTTATATTTAAATCACTATTACGAACATTTAAAAAGTAGTTTAATTGAGGTATAACTGTTAGAAGTACTCAACAGAAAAAGTAGAGCTTAAAGTGTGGAAGGACTTTCCAGCTGGGTTTTTCGTTAAAGCTAAACAGTGTGACCGTGCTTCCTTATATTTGCAGTGTAAGTTTGTTTTTTAATTTTTCTTTTAGTTTTTACATTTATTTTCGCTTATAATTTTCATTTATTACTATAGTTTTTTTAAGTGCCTGTATTTGCCTTTTAGGCTATGCCTTTAACTGTAATTTGTGTAGCAGCAGATCTATTACGCTCTCTCCCTCTCTCTCTCTCACTATTTCTATGCACAGCAACCGCTAGATTTTACATATGTGTGTGTGTGTGGGCTGTATCGAACTCTAAGCAGTAAATAACTCTCTCGCGCTCTCAGCAACTGCTTGATTGCACGTGTGTTTGTGTGTGTTCTGTATGGAACTTTAAGCAGTAAATTACTCTGTGGCAATCTCTTTACATTTATCTATGCACAGCAACTGCTAGATTGTACGTGTCTGTGTTTTGTATGTATGTATGTGTGCTGTATGGAACTCTAAGCAACTGTCGACTATCGACGCTTATCGATAATTGTGTTTTACAATTTGCATGTTCATTTCTTTTTTTTTTTTGTATTTTTTTGTTTGTTTTATTTTTACAATATTTTCAACTTTAGGATCATAGAAGTAATAACATTAAATAACATTTTTGCGTAATTCTAGTATTTCTAATGTTTTTTTGTTTGTTTGTTGTTGTTGTTGTGGTTGATGCTGCTGCTGCTGTCACACTATGTGTTGCTGTTGCCGCTGCCACCGCCGCCTGCTGTTGCCGACGCCGATGCCGACGTCACCGTCGCTGTCGCTGTCGCAGCGCCCGCTGCATTGCACTGTATGAGCCCGCTATGCTGTGCAGTCGGCGTTGCAGTCATCGGCCCCGCCGCTGCTGCCGTCCCATGATGCTGATGCAGGTGGTGCAGATGAGTGTGCGGATGATGGTGGTGATGGTGATGAGTGTGGTGATGATGATGGTGGTTCAAGTGATTCAAATTGTGGTTGTTGCTGTTATTGTTGCTAAAATTTAAATGTAATGCACCGCCAGCCGCACCATTGGTTGCCCCATTCGCCGGCGAGGCGTGGCCGCTGGCATCGGTGCCCGCTGCTGCTGCTGCTGTTGCATGAGGAGGAACTGCCGAGGTGCAGTAGCGCGTTGTATCACCGAATTCGCCGCTGGTTAAATCACCCAGAATGCCGCCCAGTAGGCCGCCGCTGCCGGGCGGCTTGCCGCCTGCGCCCGGCTCCGGTTGCGTGCAGATGGGCGGGGCTGCGGCGTCGCCGTCAATCAGCGATGTGCCACAGCTGCTTTGTGAATTGACATGCAGCGCCTCGGCCGAGGAATTGCTAATGTTGCTATTGTTGCTGTTGCTGCTGCTGTTGTTGTGCGGCTGCTGCTGTTGCAGCTGCGACTGTTGCTGCTGCTGCTGCTCACTATTGGAGCCAGAGACCGAGATAGACGCGGAGGCGGATGCTGAACCGGAATCGGTTTGCGAATCCTGACCGCAGACACTGTTGTCGTCGGTCAATCGGAGCGCCACCTCCAGATCGCGCAGCACGTCCGTCTCCTTCTCGTCGATCAGATTGAAGCGGCGATGCAGCGCTGTGAGGTGCATGAACGTCAAATTTAAATGGGTGTGCAAGCCGAGCAGCGCGATTTCTCTGAAATGCGCCGCATACAGATGCGCTATCACATGAAATTGCAAGCGTAAAATCTTTCGGGCGATCGACTCGAACGATCCGGGAAACTCGTTCGCGTATTTGGTTGGAAAGATCAACTCGTCGCTGACCGTTTTCTGTGTAAAGGTCATCACATAGTCGATATACTGCGGCGCTGCGACCCGCGTCTTCTTACCCTTCTCATCGAACCATAAGTACGTTCTGCAAAGCAAATTCGTAAATCAATTAGAACTGATTTTAGGAATTGAGAATATCCATGCTAGACTCACCTGTTGCCCGGTCCGGTCATGTCGGCGCAGCCGGATTGTGTACAAAATTCACTAATAGTTCCATAGACCAAGTTCACGTGCTCGAAGAGAGCCAGAGCTGAAAGACATAGAAGGTATATGATATAAGTAAGATTAATGAAGACATAATGATGCACATTGCTTAAAATACAAATGTAGACTCCGGCTATAGCGTCCGTACAGTTATTGCAATTAAAACTCTGGTCCTCAGACAAATTTATATTAGCAAACCTATAATGGATTCTACTGTAAATGAATTTTATTACTGAATTACTTATGTACCTTTTCGATTTCAATATTCTATACTATTATTATTATTGGTATAAAATAAATTACAAAATTAGTAAAGTTCACAAAACACTGGTGAAGATTTTTTCTAATCCTAACTCAGAAACGAAGCTCCATTTTTATACTAATTCACGAAAGTGAAATTAATATATTGATTTTAACTATTTCTCTATCTATATTTAGGTATACATTCTGATTCGATTTTTAACCATAAACCAACTTAAATGCTTAATATTCATCTTAAATTATTTATAAGCTTTGTCCTTCCCACTCCCTCTCACACTCTCCTTCACTTTCCCCAGTGTGTTTCTTCTTCTTATATGTGAATGACAGCTGTGTTTGTATAAACTTGACATTGAAACACCCAGCTGGGGGTCGGTGACAGTGACAGCGACAGCGACAACGACAGCTCGTCAAAGTTTTATCTTCAGAGGCACGCTCGTAGTATCGTTAAATAGGTCAATGTTAACTCAATATTGGCACAACTGGGCGTCAGATGGAAGAACAAAAGGGAATCGCTTCGATAATTTTCTTGTATTACGTCAGTCCCAATTGCATTATGCGCGGAACAAAGCGATGCACACAGAGGGAGGAGGCGAAGCGGGGGACGAATTCAAAATGGCTTGGCCAATGAAATCACTTTTAATGGATAGGGGCTAGGCATGAATATATGTACTCTATATAAACACTCTCTGCATGCATGTATCTACTATTTCCCTCTATCTATCTGTATGAAGTCAACTTCTGCCCCTATTGTTTACCATGCGACCTCTCGACCCCGCCCCCGCCCCCACCGCAGCTGGTGGCATTTTGCAGTTGATTATTAAGAAAATTTATAATCAAAGTCGCTGGCGCGAGCAGGAGGCGGCTGCCTTGGGGGCTACTAATATATTACATTCTGCTGAAACACTGCCAATTATTCGAAAGGCTGCAAAAGGCATCTTTTAGTGCGTTAATTTCTATTTGCGTACCTATCATTATTTTCGATGAGATTAACACGAGATGATGTAATATCTGACAAACTGCTGCGAGAACACGTATACAGAAGATGACGACAATGACAATGATGATGCTGATGATGATGATGTGGATAATCATGCGAATGATGTAAGCTAGTATTGCCAATTAAAATTTAGGACCACCCACAGAGTGCTTAACTGGAGCATCGTAGAAGGACGTCAGCCTAAGACTTAATTAGAATTCAGTTGGCATAGTGATTCGATCGTAATTACAGATGTATAAGAAGCTTTAATAGTCGCGCACTCTTAAGTGTTTAAGCAAAAATTAATCTCTTACTCACAATTTAAACTATTTAATGTTCTACTAATATATAAAAATAAAAAATAAAAATATTTAAAATATAGTAGCAAAAGCAAATTATTAAAAATATACACATTTATATTTTTCGTTCCGCTTTAAGCTGAGGTTATTCTAATTCTAATTCTAATTTACTAGCACACACTCATCGAGACACGTCTCAATCTGGACCTCGTTTCTATGCTCTAGCTTAAGGTAGGTCTTCATTTCGTAACTCTCTATATATAATTGATGTTGGCACTTAAAATGAATATAAAACCAGGTTTATGGACCTCTATAATTGTTATCAACGGGGAAGCGGAATTAAAAAGCTTTTTAGTGCCTATTTTATATCACTAAGCTAATCTTGAGTTCAGCAGAGTAGAAAATAAGCAAGCATTTTAATAGAGATTAACTAGAATAACTAGAATAATACTCATTTGAGGATTTCAAAATTCACTTAAATGTTTTAGTTTAATTCATGTATTTCCTCCTAGGGAAACATTGATTTTCTAGACTTTTCTAATGCAGGGTGAATGTGTCAATGCCCAAAACTCTATAAATTTTAATAGAACTGGGTGGAGATATCTACATATATTCTAAGTTAGTCGAAATTTGTATACTAATGAAAGAACTTGAACCTGAAACCAAGTAGAACTACCGATATTTATCGATATCTCGATTACAAATGACTTTACTTGCACTGCGTAAAGTGTATAAGTCTAAATATATATTCAATTTCAATTGACAAGCATTTATTATCTGCAATATAACTCAATACAGACAGATAGATAACTCCCTGACCGGATATACGCATATTCTACTATATATATGAGGAGTAGTAGTTCTACACCTGTATATATATCTAGAGAAGTTCTACACCTGGCCTGCTCCCCAATCAACTGCAGCTTATAAAAATCCAAGTACTATTATAATCTATAAGTTAATACGCCATTGCTTGGCAACATCCATTCAAGTTTTAAGCGATATCTGTTACTATGCCTCTATTAGCAGCTGTTTGGGAAGCAGCTTCCCATTGTTAACTGTCAATCGGCACGTTCTAAGCCCAGTTAGTTGAATCAGTCGCGAACGAGAGCCACAAATTGATCTCCGTGTGGCCAGAAGTCACGAGGTTCAAATACCAAACAACTTGTCTATCAAAATTACGAACATTTATAATCACACGGTAGCAAATCAACAAGAGCTACAACAACAAAAACTAATAACAATTCATAGATGAATGGACAAATAATTCGAATAAATCATAACACGAATATCACGTGAAGAAAAAACACACGCACACAGTCAAATGCTGAGTGGGGAGGCAGCTGTTGAGCGTTGGAGTGCGAGATAAGTAGAGTTAGATGGAAGACTGAGAGATACCCAGGGTGGGAGGAGAGTTGGCGAAATTGTAAAATAAATAAGAGTAGTTAAAGATATACAAGTATAAGAGAGGGAAAGAAAGCTTACTGTTCCTCAAAAGCAAGATGACTAATAGAATAATAAACTAAATATAAAATATATATGCCTAGCTAAATATTTCTAAAATTATTTAAATTGATATATAAAATAAAATACATTCTATTATAAAAAATATATGT